TGTGTCGTCGGCGAGCGAAGTAGACGTAACAGTACTGCATATTTACGATTGCGAGAAACATCTAGGAGGCTTTCGTAGCGTGTACTCCAGGCCAGTTGTGAGTAGCTCGTGGTATATGTATACCTTCCCTCCGCAGTTGCGGCGCGGGATCGTTTATCTTCTCCATTTATTCAACCAATGGACGGTGCCCCTGATGGGAATGGCAATATTGACATTCGCGTCGAAGACAACAATGGCGGCCACGATCTCGTCGGCGACGACAACGGCAACCAACAAGAAGCTGCGCACGCAGCGCCTGTGCAGTTCTACCAACCGGACGAGGATGTGGTTGCCATGGTTAACTCTCTAGCCGCCTCCCCCGAGATCACCCCTGAAGTCATCCACTCGTTGGGGAGCAATGGCCTGACTTCCCGCAGCTGGTCGGCTCGTTGTCCTCGACTTCCATGACAAGGGTAACTAATGGTCTCTCTATCGCCGCGGCCGCCACACTTGAGTCCTTGGCTGAGGAAGTAGGCGCCATAATCCGCAAGAGGCGTAAACTTCATGCCGAATCCGACGCTATCACCCAAAGGTCGACGGTGCAAGTTGAGGCTATAATCAACCATTCGATCAAGAACTACCACTCTCCCCTTCCACCAAGCCTCTTCTACGGAATCTCTTCCTCGGTCATCACCGCCGTCAGCAATACGAAGAATGGCTGCTATGCACCGTTCAAGGATATCATGGAGAAGCCGGAGTTGCCTTGTGAGGGTCTGCCCGACTTCAAGCAGGAAAGACAGTCTTATGGTGGTCTCTCTACGAGCCCGGTGATGAAAGGTAAGTACCCGAATTCTAGTACGGAATGGTCCTCATGCTTGCTACGGTTCGCTCTACTCGTTGCTGGCACAGTAGACCCGAAGGTTCTCTCTCCGGTCGACATCCTAGCCTACGGCGCACGTATCATAACCCTGGCGAGGTCTATGCCTTTGGTGACCACTCGCGTCTACGACGACCGCTATCGTCGCGGGGTGGCAGCTGTCATGGCTGCCAATGCCCAACTCTCATTGCGCCAGTGCTTTCTGACCGACACCAATCCGGCACTACTCGCCGAAGTCGTCAGTTCTTCACTGCGTTCCGCCACCACATGAGAGCTCCTGCCGAGAATGGCAGTAGAGGTCGCGACTCGCAGCGGCCCGAGCCCTGTAGAAA